GTCTCTCTCCTTTTTTGGCAGCTATCCGGCACTTTGGCAACAGCGAATACTGGTGGCCCTCTCTGGGCGTTCCTCTCCTATTTCCTTCAGCGTAACGGCACGGGGATCGGTACGAGCGTAGCAGACTAGGGGGCGATCGTGATGGCGATCATAGCTTCACTAGTTCAATTCCAATCGCGCGTGTTCCGTCTGCTCGCGCGCCGAATTCCTTCGTTACGTTTTTCGTCTCCCCGGTAGGTGCTGCCCCCGCAGGCAGCAATTAGGTTATATTATTAGCGCTAATTTGACGTTTACCGTCATAAAATAAATAAATAAATGAATCCCTAAATTAATCCTAATCTTTTTGTTACATTCTAATAAAAGGACAATACTCACTGGAGTATTTTCTTGAATCTCATTTACATATGTTATATAACAATAATACATACTTGTTGTCTTAATATATTAGACAGATTATAAATAAACTTGGTATAAAAAAAAGAAATTTAAAGAGGTATGATGAATATAGAGAAAATTAAAATTCTGATATTTTATTATGTAAAACTTATTCATTTTAAAACTTCTCAACTTGAACCTTATTTATTTTAAGTTCTTCAGTAACAGCTTTCATTTGTCATGTGTCTTAAAAATCTAAATCTGTGCTTCGTAAACTTACCATTTGCAAAACATATTATTGAAAAATTAAGTTAACAGATATTGGTAGGAGAAAACTGCAATAATTCCTTTACTAATAACATTAAGTTTATTAACATTTGCTCATTACACTTACGCGTGTAGAGTAACTGATCACTGTTGAAGAGCGAGCCAACTTTTATACCCAAATATACTGTCGCTGACAATTACATTCATATACAACAGCTCTCTGTTTCTTTTAAATCTATAGCTCTCTAAAAATATGAAAAGCGCCGTAATTTTATAGCTGTATTTTTACATATGATTATTTGATCTGAAAAATACTTCACTTCATTATTTTCTGTCGTTCGATACAATGTGGATAATCGTTATTTTTTGCGATTTTATACTGAAATTATCTAACATCGTATGGTTATTGTCTTATGATTTCTCGGTAATAAATCAAGCTTATACTTTCTCATTCTTGCTTCTATTTGCTCAAACTGCACTCTTGCGGTTATTTCTGCGATATTTAATTTAATTGAATCAAATCGTATTAATAATAATCATTAATTAATCTATATTCAATTGAATCTATATATAATATAAATTTAATTTAATCTGCATGGAATTTATAGTTAATTTAATTTACATATAATCAAATATTTTTTTGGAGATTCATCTATAATGCGCTCGTTTCAACTTGAAATTAAAATAGTTCCGGTCTAGATAATATTTAGATTAATATATAACAGTAACTGACGTAGTGTCGGGTAGAACGGAATTTATAGATGCGTCGATTAATAAGCATTGCAAACATCATTCTAGTGTGAAAACAAGTGTAACAGCGTGAGTATAAATTATTATCAAACAAGAGAAATAGTCATTAAACATAATGTAGAAAGTGAAATTTTATTCATAATTCATTTATTGTGTGCCAAAAATCATTTTAACATAGTTTAACATCATAGTTACTAAGCGAATCGTTATATACACGACGTGGTAATTTATTGGAACTAACACAGCAAAATCATGAATAAATTAATAAAAATATTCTGAACGATATAATGAAAGCATATGTAAATTGACATTATAAAACAACGTATAACAGTTATGCATAAATATATTCATTGTTACGATGTGAAATAATTTCGAACTGAACGAGCTAAATATAGCATAATTATTTAAAAATATTTGAATGCCGATCCTTTTCTAACATGTTAGCCAATTTCACTCCCTAGTAGGCAATGTTACTTTTATTTCTTGATACAACTTCAGCCGAAAAGACGCTGACGTACCATCGAGAGTATATACCTGTTGGAGGTCCGCACATCAACGTTACGGATATGAAGCGTTCTGGTATACGAGGTCTGTCCGGAAAGTATCGGGCCTACCTTTATATTTTCGTGCTAGCGTTATTCTTTATCATCTGGTGGGTAGCATCCTTCAAAGTATTTCCCAGTTGATTGAATAACACGGTTCCATCGATGTTTCCACTTTTCAAAACAATCCTGGAACTCACTTTTAAGGATAGCCTTAAGTACACTCGTGGCATTGTTTTCAATCATTGTTTTGTCATCGAATCGGTGTCCTTTGAGTGGTTTTTTTAGTTTTGGAAACAGCCAAAAGTCACAAGAGGCTATGTCGGGACTGTATGGAGATTGTCGAAGCAATGCGATATTGTGTTTGCGCAAAAACTGCTGCACAAGATTGGATGAATGCGCTGGCGCATTATCCTGATGGAGAAGCCAGTCACCACTTCCCCAAAAATGCGGCCGTTTTTTTCTTACTGCATCACACAAACGTTTCAAAATTTGAACGTAGTATTCTTTATTGATTGTCTGACCTGTTGGTGCATATTCGTGATGTACAACACCTTCACAATCGAAAAAAACAATCAACATTGGCTTTACATTGCTCCGACTTTGACGTGCTTTTTTTGGTCTTGGCGATTCAGAATGATTCCACTGTAAAGATTGTTTTTTGTTTCAGGATCATAACCATAAACCCATGATTCTTCACATTTAATAACTTTTCTAAGCACATTATCATCATTATTGATCATTTCCAGATTGTCGAGAGCGATTTCTAAGCGAATGTTCTTCTGCTCTGCTGTGAGCAATTTTGGGATGAATTTCGCACACACGCATTTCATTCATAAATTTTCGGTTGAAATTTCTGAAATGATAGTTTTTGGTATCTTAGGGTTTTCTTCTAGTTCTTTCACAGTCATACGACAATCTTGTTCGATTGCAAGTCACACCCGCTCAATATTATCTGCGGTTTTTGACGTCGAAGGTCGGCCGGAACGAGAATCACTATCGACAGAAATGCGACTATCTTTGAACCGTTTATACCACTCTTTTATTCGTGTTTTGCTCATACACTCGCTTCCGAAGGCCTTTTGCATCATTTCAATAGTTTCCGAACTCGTTTTTCCGAGTTGAAAGCAAAATTTGATGCAAATTCGTTGATTTTGTTTTTCAGTAATTTTTGACAATATCAAAATCCGACGAACACGAAAATGGCACTGTAAATAAAGACACGCTGCATATATGTCTGCTACACGTCCGGCAGGTGTCAGTATGTAAGCAATAGATTCGTGAGGCTTTACTGTTGACGTTTGTGTCCGGTAGAGGTCGCTCGAACACTATGGCGTGAAGATATAAATGTAGGCCCAATACTTTCCCGACAAACCTTGTATCGTACACTATAAATTCAACAATATCGGTGAGAGGCACGTGTACGACCGAGCATTAATGGTCTTATTGTGTGTTGAAGTTGACTAATAGCGAGAAGGTACGAATCAAGGGGGTGGAGGGCGCTTATCACAGTGCGCAGCCAATGACAAACAAAAATTATGACCGAATATCGTGCAGCCTCTTTCTACTCTCTTGCAGCAAAATTTTACCTTCTCCATTTCACCGAATGACATTGAGTCAAGGATTCGCTAATTCTGAATCACGTACTGTATTAGTTAAACTATATTCGCTATTAGTTAAAATATATTCGTCATCACCATTTTGTGGAGATGTTGGAAGGAGAGATAGAAACTACTGCGGAGCCAACGATGAACGAACAAGTTTGCCAATGAAGACGCTTCAAGCAAAGTAAGAGAAGACGATTTGTTTTAGTTGTTCGTTGCCTAGTTGATTGAAGTCACCGTCATAGTTAGGCGACACGTGTCATATCCGTAAGAAGATCTGAACAATCTAAACATGTTAAATCAATGAAGGAAAGGTAATAGTGATTTCCGTGCAGGTGTGAATGATTAAAGAGACACCTGAGTGTTAGTTGAACTTTAATTTATTTTTGCACAATAAAAACGTTATAGTAGGCCCTGAAGTCAGCCGGCATAAAAAAACTCAGTATTCGCATGAAGAAAAAACCTTATGAATTTCAGGTATTTGCAATGAACGTTAACATATAAAATTAAATGTTAACCCTTGGAGAGGCAGGTGCCAGTATTTTGGCACCCTATTTTTCCTCAGTTTTTTCGTTATAGCTTGAATAATCTGAGCTCTAGATCGCTTTAATCTTTTTTGTTTGAACAGTGGATGCTAGAGGAAAAATTCGGTTTTGAGCTCATTTTACAACTAAATTCGCTGATATTTGGTATACGGGAGGTTCCAAGGTCGCTGATTACGAATCCAGTATCAGATATGGGCAATTTAAAATGGCGAATCCAATATGGCGGCTTCGTCGCAAGAAAAGTTCACAAAATTCAATTATTTTAGCTAGTATTACCTGCATATGTGTTTTCGATGTCGCTGATTACGAATCCAGTACCAGATTTTGAAAATTCAAAATGCCGGATCCAATATGGCATCCTGATTGTAAGGAAAATTTACAAAATTCTGTTATCTTAGCTGTTATCACTTGATTTTGAGGTCACTGATGATGAAATGAGTCTTGGGTGTAGAAAACTCAAAACTGCGGTTCAAATATAGTGGTAAAGTTTTCATGAAATGTACTTATTATTATGTATTTATTTTCGGCTAGATATTTGATTACATCTGAATTATCCCAATAGGATGGATAAAATTTTTTTTATGACGATTTTTAGTATACTAGAAAAAGAATATCTGAGAAAGAAAAAACAAGCTTTCATGTATGTGAAATTTTGTCCGTGTTAGAAATCACGTTTGAGTGGCGGGCTAACGGTCATAATAGTGTGATCATAGTTTTTACTTTGTGATATATTCCTATTTTATTAGTTGAATAAAAGAGGCAAGTAGTTTCGATAAATAAAGAAATTTTGGCCGTGTTAGATATCACGTTTGAGTGGCAGGCTAACGGTCAAAATAGTGTGACCATAGTTTTCACTTTGTATTGAATTTTCTTATTGATAAGTTGAATAAAAAAAAACAAATAATTTTGAATAAAAAATGAGTGATTCTGAAGAAGAATATGAAGGAGATCAAATCCAACCAGACGATGAATCTGTCGATGGAAATGACATAAGCGATGAAGAAGGTTATGACCTGAATGTAGACTCTGGAAAACATTATGAGAATGATTCTCGTAGGTTCAAAAACAGTAAAATTTCATCAGATGAAACTTGGTCAAACCAATTTTTACCTTTCGATAACTTACCTTTAACAAAGAACGTTGGGCCAAAGAATATTCCTGATACTGTCAGAACACCTGGGGATATTTTATTGATGCTCTTATCGGTAGAAAATATCGGAAACATGGTTCAACAAACAAATCTATATTATCTAAAGAATAAAATTAAGAATGACGTTCCCGTGACTGCAGATGAGATAAAGAAATTTATTGGAGTGAACATAATAATGGGTGTCAAACTTTTACCGTCTTATCGTGATTATTGGTCATCAAATTCTCAGTTGAATGATGCTTACATAAGCTCGTCAATGCCGGTCAAAAGATTCTCTTTTCTGCTTAGTAATTTGCATTTGAATGATCAAACTAAAGAACCTAAAAAAGGAGAAGCTAATTTCGACAAATTATACAATATAAGGCCAAATATTGACAGAATTTCTGAAACTTATTTGCAATATTATGATCCAACCAGAGAGCAATCTAAAGATGAGAGCATGGTAAAGAAACCCATAAAACAAGGATATAAGATATGGGTAAGATCAGATATGAATGGCTACGTATGTGAATTTCAAATTTACACGAGAAAAATTAATAATGTTACTAAGAAAAATTTAGGAGAAAGAGTTATCATGAGTTTATCTTAAACTGTGAAAAATAAAAATTACCATATCTATTTTAACAATTATTTTACAAGTACTAATTTGATGATAACATTATTGAAAGATGGAATTTCTGCCTGTGGGACAATTCGAAAGGATCGTCTTCCTAAAAATCAAGGAAAACAAGGAAAAGATAAAGACATGAAGATGGGTGACAACGAATACCGTCCGTCAAATGAGGGCATCAGATATTTGAAATGGCTAGACAAAAAACCAGTTCATTTTTTATCAAATTTTCATGATCCATCTGATTTGTCTGAGGTAGAGAGAAGACAAAAAGATGGTTCATTGAAGACTATAGCTTGCCCTCAAATGGCGAAGGATTATAATGCTCATATGGGATGTGTTGACAAATCAGATCAGATGAAATCATTCTATGAAATCACAAGAAAAAGTAGAAAATGATGGTACCGCTTACTATGGCACTTCATAGATGTCACTCTTGTCAACTCTTTTATAATTTACAAATTACTCAATCCTGATAAAAATTTAAAATTGAAAGAGTTTCGTTTATTAGTTGTAGATGAGTTGATAGGACTAAATTGTCAAAAGAAGCGAGGAAGACCATGTTGAAATAATCCCAAAACTCCTGCTTCAAAAAAAATCAAAACATCTGAAAGTATCAGGACGTCAGTACAGAAACATTTGCCTGGTATTTATGAAGGACTCTACAAAAATTATGAGTTTTGTAGTACTAAAAACAATCGAGTTCGATCCCAATTCTACTGCACAACATGCAATGTGCATCAATGCGAAGAAAAATTGCTTTGCTGAATATCATAAATAAAAAATTACTACAGCATGGTACTGAATATCATATTCATATTGAGCAAAACTACAATTAGATTCTGATGGTAGAATTTTCCAAATATTTATTCACTACTTTAGATTCATAATCTTTATTTTGAAAATTCGAGACTACACCCGTGATCAGTTACTCTACATTGCAAAACTAAAAAATAATTACAAACATATGTAACTAGCAGAAAATTTTCTAGAATGCTGAAATCAGAATTAGCGACTTCTCAGACTCTCACATAAAAAAAATTATTTTCTAATTTCAAATGTTTCACCAGCCATATTGCATCCGCCATTTTCAATTTTGAAAATAGAAGTTCAGATTCGTAATCAACGACTCCAAAAACCTAAGTATCCAAATTTTAATCTATATAAGCTAATGTTTGAAAATTATGTACGCCATATTGGATCCGCCATTTTAAATTTTGAAAATCAGACTTCAGATTCGTAATCAGCGATCCCGAAAACCCTTATATATAGAACACTTTTATGTCTAGGATAAGTGCAGCAGAAAAATGTGCCCCTGAAAGAGTTAAACTAATTAACGGAAGCTCGACGTACAAGGAAAGGTACCCAACCCGAACTCACCGATTTTAATGATTTTGATACATATTGTAGAACATTAAAAAATAAGAGACACGTAATTGTTTTTATCGACTAATTTTCACTTTTAAGGGGTAAAAACGTCCTCTAAAATTAACCTCCGAAAATCATTTTTTTTAATATCTCGGCTTAAAATTAATATTTTTCAGTGAAACAAATTGGTGGTTATTTCTTACAAAAGGAACAAGTATTTCATGGTGATTTGAAGAGAAAGAGTAGCATCCTCTATTTTTTAGGGGTTGAAAACATATATTTTTTGGCATAATTTTATAATAAATTTAAACCGACTAAAAAAAAATGGAAAAAATATTTAAACATCCATAATAACAAAATTTAGTTGACATCTTTCGGCGATTTAATAAATATTACCCCTAAGGGGGGGTAAACCACCCCTAATACAAAATAACTGTAAATATGTAATTCAATACATAATATTTCGTAGAAAGTTTGTATATAGAGATTTTCGAGGTCGCTGATTATAAATCTCTTAACAGATTTTGAAAATTTAAAATGGCGGAACCAATGTGGTGGACAAAAATGTCGAAAAGAAATTTTATCTTTCATAAAAACTTGTTTACAATTGTGTGATCTTTGTAACCTGTACATGTGAACTAAAGAGCCTTAAACCCTAAATCCCTAAACAACAAATAGGCTAAACGGTTATGCTTTTTAACCAAATGACTCCAAACCCCTAACCTCCAGACAGGCGGAAGGCCTATACTTCACCGTAGACACGAGTATAGACATATTACAGATATTTTATTCAATCTTTTTATATGTAACAAATTTCGTCTCGATTTATGTTTCAATCAAAGATTATTTATTCTGCTGCTTTTATAAATCAGCATAATTTCAAAAGTAATTTCATAGATTATATAACGGGGTTTTGACCCGACGCGGGTCACTCGTTATATAAATTACGAGGGAATTAGAAACAGCTCGGTGTGAGCCTCGTAATAGGCTGCGCAAAGCCTAACCCAGCAGCAACAGGAACGTCGTGGTGCAGCGTCTGTTACCTTGGCCCGCGGAGAGCGTCGTGTAGTCCTATGGACGCTTTGGAGCGATCACGAAATTCAGGTGCGAAAGCCGGATGGAACGGGATTGTTTACGATAGGTAAAAAGGAAGCGCAGAGGAAGAAAACAGATATACGAGCAGCATTGAGTTTACTACAGAGAATAGTACAAAGTTAGTACGCAGCGTAAGCGGGAGAGAGAGCGGCGAAAAGCTAGCGAGAGAGACACGTCTTCGAGGTGGTACTTACAAGGACGTCTCGAAGTCAGCCCTGGAGACGGTGTTCTCGGCCTCGCACGTGGTCCACGAGGACGCGCAGTACGCAACTCGAATGCGGTCAAAAGGCGGGCGGCTTTGAAGGCTCGCACGCGTAGTCGCTGGAATTAGCTCGCCAAAACACTGGGGCAATCTCGGCACCAAACCTCACACCGAGTGGGCACTCGCGTACTCGCCAGAAACACCAAGGAAAAAGTCGCAGATCACTAAAGGTCGCAAGCACGTATATCCGCTCGTCACACGTCCACGTGCTTCGAAGTCGCCGGTACAAGAGAGAGTTCTTATCGTGGGGCTTCCTCCTACCCCACTCTCCTACTCGCGCGCGTCGCGCCGGCCTCCCGAAGTCTCTCTCTCTAGCTCGCCCTCTATTAACGCTCTCTCTGACTTACCTTTGGTTGCCATACATGTGAAATAATTATATGACAAATATATATATATATAAATAATTATAATTATGTGTGGGGAGAGAGAGACATAACGAGGGTCTGGCCGCTCGTTATAATTATAAAGTATTTCATAAATTTCATAATTATATAATTTTATAAATTCAAAAAGTCCACACTCTTTAGCAAATGAAAAAACACAGGTTAATAAAATTAGTTTATCAACATATTTTGCGGTTTGTAATAAATTTTAATGTTGTCAAAGTTTTTCGTTGTTACAATTATTTCGTAAGCCAAAGGTTTTTTAGATGAATTCTCGAAGTAATGATTATTCTATCTATAGTAAAATATTTACAGTCTGGAATTCTATAATAATACTATTTGATACGATTTAATGAATTTATCAAAAAATCTAAATTCAATAATAAATATTATTCTCATTATTATTATTCTTTTTTATTATCATTGCTATTATCAGTATTACCGTTGGCTATTGGCATGCTATTGGCAATTATGCTTATTCTTATTTTTTTTTTTTTTTTGACAAGGAGTTGCGGAATCCTTTTTGCGGATTTCCCATAGTCTTTCTGACTAAGGGGTTATGTGATATCAATCGTCTCGTCCAGTTACCACCTCGTTCCTCTATCCATCGGCCTTGCCAAATGTCCATTGTCCTGTCGCGCTCAGCGATTGCCGCGTCCTATGTTCGCGCTACTCTCGTAGATCCTTTTGCATTCAAAGGCCAGAAGATCCACGGGTATTACGCCAGCCACCACCAAAACAGCCTGCGCAGAGGCTGTTCGGTAGGAGCAAGCGATTCGCAGTGTCCCCTGTCTATTTACCATCATCATCGACTTACAGTATTTCTTTGTCTTCAGGAAGTCTGCACATATTCCCGCGCCGCATAGAAGGATCCAGTGAGATGTCGCCATTAACAGTCGTCGTTTTCCTAATCTCGGTCCCGTCGTATTTGACATCAGGCGACTCAAGGATGCTATCCTATGCAGTGTCTGTCTAGTTCCAGGAAAGAATCGACCACCTTTTGGATCGCTCCAATCGTCAATCGACCCCTCCTATTATTATTATTATTATTATTATTATTATTATTATTATTATTATTAATATAATACTACGATAATTTTTGTTATTGGTAAAAATACATAAAAGAATATTAATACTTGAACTTCATTAGCAATTAAAGAACACGTTGTTAGTGAAAGGGAATTGTATATACATTCATTGTTATCATACGAGTACATTCAATGATAATTCCACAGATAAATGTCTTTTACTAATAAAAGTTGTTGACAATATGTACTAATCGGTATATTCTTTTCTTAGATTGCACAGTCCTATAAAAATACCTTAATTTTTTGCACAAGCAAACCATATATGTTTTCCCAAAGAATTTTTGGCGATTGCTCCAACACGTCAGGATTTTAAGAAATCTTAATCTAAAAGTGTGAAAATAGCGATTTTTACCTATATTTGAGGTTATGTAGCACTACGACATTCTCTATACACAAAAAACTATAAATGACATATTAAAGAAGTAGTCTAGTCCTTTTAAATGCCGTTGAGTTTGCTCAGTTTACTTATTCTTTCTTTGAGATATTAAATTTCAAAGTTTTTCATTTCATGAATATTATACCTTTCAGAACATATAGCTTTGAACGTTTCGACGTCGAATTTTGTGTCAAGCGTCTTCAATCAATTACTGTTCTAGAACAAAATTAAGATATATACCATGGACAGACTAACTCAACTTCAACCTAAATTACGTCACCCCACGAACCCTTACTACCCTTATAAAACACCCCAACCTGAGGAAGGGTATATCAGAGACAATGTCAATGAGATATTCATTTTTTCACAGAAAAGCAGTTGATTAAATTCGCTCTACCAAGGGTTAG